TATATATATATATATATATATATATATATATATATATATATATATATATATATATATATATATATATATATATATATATATATATATATATATATATATATATATATATATATATATATATATATATATATATGATGATGAAAACCAAGAAAATAGCGCGCTGTCTATACTGGCTACAACATTCAATTTATTAAAGAAAATACACTTTAAAGAAAGAAGTCGTTTTACGACCGATACACACCACGAAAACTCGGAGAATACCAAAACAAACGAGACGTGGAAAACAAAGAGGATAACGTGAAAACTATACTGGCCAAGACTTTCATTTTATTATAACATACATTGAGAAGAAAAGAGGGCGTTGTACCATCGATAAACGCCATGAGTACTCGGAGTATACCAGAACAGACTAGAGACGGGGGAAACAACGAGGTATTAAAACATACATAGGAAAGAAAGAGGGCGCTGTATCTTTGATAAACATCCCGAGTACTCGGAGAATACCAGAACAGACTAGATGGATAAAACAAAGAGAAAAACGTGCAGGCTATCCTGGCAAAGACATTCATTATATCAAAAGATACATTGAAAAGAAAAGGGGCGTTGTACCATCGATAGCAGAGTATATCCACGTACCTCGCGTGGCAAATAAAGACATTTAACAGAAAGATCGTTCACTTTTATTTTAATATTTCAAAGAAAGGGTCCAAATACTATAGATGACTCTATCCATGTACCCGTGGTTGTGTATTATCATACAACACTGTCCGATATGTTTAACAATGGTTGCAACATCTTAACATCTACTTCTGCAAGTCCGCAATTACTTTCTTAACATGCATAGCGTGCACCTTGGAATCCACATCCTTGGGCATCTCCTTCACATCTACACCCAAGTTCTTCTCTACCTGTTTGATATGCTCGGCAATTTCCTGGTGTTTCTTGTGTCCGTGTTCGCGGTGTTCATGCTCATGGTGTCCGTGCTCACCCTTGTGGCCGTGCTCACCCTTGTGGCCGTGACGACCGTGCTTCTTACCGTGACATCCGTGGTGCTTGTACCAGCGAAGAGTGTGTGACTCTTGTTCGTTACATGTTACACCCTCAGTGTGGCAATAGCCTACACGGAATCCATCGGTGTAGCCGAAGTGCTCGCCAGCATAGGCTGCCATAGCCTCCATTGATCCCAAATGGTAGAATGCATCATTTACATCGAACACATTTCCAGGCAACGTAGGAAGAACAGAGGGGAGACCAGTCACGGGGCCATTTTCAGCAACCAACTTGGCGGCTTCGCTACGACCCAGCTCCTTACCTTGAGGCATGCCGGCGCGATATCCCTGCTTGAAACTGTGCTTGGCAGTGTGCATAGCCTGTCCGACGAAGGCAACGTGTCCGAACAAAGCCAACACAGTGCAGATGATACCAATAGCAACCGACCAGCGCATTGCCTTTTTGGCGTACCGTGAGTACTTGTGGGCAGATGCATAGTCACCAGCGTTATTCGCTTTGTTGGTACGGTGACCGTAGTACATACCTAGGAGACCTGCGGGACTGAAGCAGCAGAGAAAGCTAAAGGTCGACAACAGACAGAATGATGGTGCTGGTGCGTCGAACGACCGCTCACCGTGTACAAGCTCAGATTGTTCGTACATAGGAGGGGGAGATTCAGGTGATACTGAGATCACCTTATCGTCGGAGAATACCTTCTCGTCGGGAATCTTAACATACTCGCCTTTAGACATGGTAATTAAATTTTTCAATGTATACTGTGTACGTGTACAAATCTGAATGGGAATTCACCGCGGGATGTCTATTTGTAGTTCTCTACTACGCATAAATATTTTACGTCCCAAGTCCCATGTCCCAAGTCCCAAGAAGCCCCAAGCCCCAGCGGGCCCAGCTCCCAAGGCACACAACGACTCGAGTATATATATTTTCGTATTTATAGTTCGAATGAGTCATTGCTCTATTAGAGCCTTTGTTTGTTTTTAATCTCTATCGTAGCCATAGCCTTCTTGATAGGCCCAGTTGGCAGTAGCTCATCCATTGATTTTGTATTTGTAGAAATAATTATACAAAACGAAATATGGCGTTACCTTTTCTAAATACACGTTTTTTTCCTCTGGCTGAACTGGGAACATCGGACACATATTAAAAGCCGGGGGACATCAGTGCTCAAAGGCTCAGACCTTGTCCTCACAAAAAACCAAACGGTTTGAAGTCAAACGCTAACGCACGGAAATCAAAGCATTTTTGATGAAAAAACGTTAAAAAAACGGTATGATATAGTATCTGCAGGGAAAAAGGATGTTCTGTGGAAAAATCATTCCTGCATTTGAAAGAGTGCGATGACGTAGTTCGACAGCCAATGATGTCCGTGAGTATAAATTTGCCGGAATTCGGAATACATACGGGACAAATATAAATCATGGAAGCCGAAAACTGAGAAAAGGTGAGTGGCTAATTGTATATAATTAAAACAAAAATAAATAATAAAACAGTATACGTTTTACTGCTTAACTCAACGCAAATAACATATGTATGTAGGATGTACATATGAATTTACACAGTACGCTGATGTCCTCGGTATGTGTACTTTATATTTGGTTGATTTTATAAATACTTTTTATTATATAACAATAACAAAGTCGCTATTTTCCCAGCCCCCTGTAATAGTGGACCAGTATTTATAAAAATGTAACCTTTTTGTTTTGAAATCAAACCCGCGGCCGGTGGTCTCGCGGGGACGCAGGGAGTCGAGGGCTCGCGGAGGGCAGTTGGGTGAGTCGTTTGTAAAATAAAGAAGCTATGGATAATTGTTTTAAAATAAATAAATAGAAAAGGTTGGTCTGTCGTCAGAACATTTTTTTATAAATCTATTATATTTAGCCTTCTAAATTGAACAGAAAGAAATGCCTGGAAAAAAAAACCAAATCAGTACGTGTTCTTTTTTTTCTTCAGCACAATATGTATATATATATATATATATATGTAAAATGAAATTGTTTGCCGAATAAAGAGAGACTTTTGAAGCTTTTTATTTTCTATTTATTTACTGTCATTTTATGTCTCAGGAAAAATTGCTTTTACATATTCCAAAAAAATTTACGGCAACTACTATTTTGCACGATAAAACGTAAAAATTCCAGAATATTCGTCGATATTTTTCGATATATATTTATTTTGAATATTTACGTAAAACGAAATGTCTCAAAGACATATATTTATTTTTGAGAATGGACGGCCGTTGGAGCTTTTCCCCCACACAATCACGTTTTGTTGTCTTCTTCTTGACATTGATGTTTAAAAAAAAATCACTATTTTACTTTATAATAATACTCGGTATATATCATAGCCGTCAAGTCTTCAGCCTTCATATGTAGGACATAATTTACACCACATTCCGATATTAGGCGGTTCGGATGTGCTACTTTGGTTTAGAGACATTTGTAAGTCCAAAATCGAAGGGGGAATAACGACTTTCAACTTTGACCAATGGCTACAGAAGGGGGCACAGTCATCAGTTCACAAATATGTTTAGTTGTTCACGTATGTTAAATATTTCACCCAAATTTATAAGTCCCTATATTGCCGAAAGTTCAAACTCCAGGGGTGGGGGTCTCAAAACCAAAGTAGCACATTCGAACCGCCTTTTTATATTTATCTTTTGATTTTTGAAAAGAATAATATAACACTGGTATCATTCGCGATTCCGTGACCAAAATTTGAAAAATAGGTGCACTATTTCAAATTTTCGTTAGGCGGTTCGGATGGTTTTCCGTGTTTTAGGGTTTATTTTGAGCCCAAAATCGATATGGGGGGAAGGGGTTTAACAAGAGCCCTAAAACTCTCTATACTCTAGAGTAATGTAGAATTACAAGTAAATACTCTCTTCGAAAAACGTCACTACAAATCTATTTTTGAAAACTCCCAGACTCCAGGAGTCCATCGTCCAGACTCCAGTCTCCAGAGAAACAGTCCCAGAAACTCCCGCCTCTGACTACAAAACTAGTACTAAAATAGTCTAAAATATGTCTAGAGTTTTGGTTTATTACACTGATGTATTTAGTCCGGTTTTGGGTATGTAGTAAAAAGGGACTCGAATCACTCGATCACTCGAAACATATAGGGCCTTTATAGTTTGAATTATGGTTCAGGCTTTGGTTCACGAGGCCCACGCTGGCGGGCCGGCAGGGGCTCTGAGTCTGAGCCTCTGAGTCTGAGCCTCTGACAGCAGTTCAGTAAAAAATCCTTAGTTCGGTACCTTGACTGGCTGGGTCTTACATATGTACAAAGTCAAAAGAATTTCCCCATTTCTGGTTCGGACTGCACAGTTCAGACGGACACTGAGTGCAGAGTGCTCCTGTGCCGGGGTTGTACGCACCAAGAGTCGGTCCAAGACCCACGGCCACAACTTGTCACAAGTCCGGGACTCAGGGCCAAGTCAGCAAGTGCCACCAACGGTGACCAGTTGACCACTGACCACTGACCTTTAGCCACTGGACCCGTGAGTGAGATCACTGACCAGTGACCACTGACCAGTGACCAATCGACTAGCTAGAAATTGATATTGTTTTTATGAAGAAGGTATAAAAAGGCCGGAGGGTCTATTAAACTCTCTAAATACTAAATAAATAGCCATGTAGTATCCTATTTTTTTTTGGGTGCCTTCAAGCTTCATCTAACCTCATAAAGTTATGGTCAATGTATATACGTTAAACCTTTAACTGTTACGATTTGAAATATAAAAGTTATAACTTTTATTTGGGACAAAATACAAAATATGAATATTTAATTTGCACTTGAAACGTTGTCCTACAAGTTTTATAATTTGGGCCTGGAATGAATTTTAGCTAATCCGAAATGTTCAACCTGACTCTGGTAGTTAGTATTTGGTAGTTGGCACCTAAAAACAGGATAAAATATATTTACTCACTAACCTGAATATTGCACCCACTGAATTTGAGAAGGGCTTATATAGGTATAAAAGGTGTCCTAAAACGTAGATAACATACAAAAATAAAAGTATTAACTTTTAACTTTTAAAAAAGTGAGGTTAGGCTTCAGCCTTCAGGTGGGGGAAAAAGGGAAGATTGAAAAAACGGGGGGAGAAAGGGGGGAAATGATTCAATGGAAAGGAAGGGGAAAGAAAAGCGGGAGAAGGGGATATATATACGAACATGGGAATAGGGTTTTTATTTCTAATTTCGGTGGCGCTATAAATAGACCACGCAGGTTTTGGCGCGTATTATCATCAGTTTTTGTCTCCCTGTTACGTACCACACACAAGCCTGATCAACTTATGAACAGGTAGACAATGATCTTGTAAGTTAATATATCTATACAGCACACACTATTGACAGGGGGTGCTCTTTTGTTGGGCATGCATCGAGAGAGATCAGATTTGGTGTAGGGACGGCGGATATTTTGAACTCACTACTGATACAACAGGCACATATTAGTTTTAGAATTTCGAATATGTGTAAAGTGTTTCTAACTATTAATGGTGTCAAAGAGCATATACGACCAACAGACGACAACACTTACAATTTCGACAATTACTGTACATCGTCAATTATTTCTATATATATATATAATATATGCATACACGTATATGTAAACATACACATACATGTACATAAAAATAATATACACACATACACACATATATATATATATATATATATATATGTGTGTGTGTGTGTTCTATATATATG